CCAGGGCTGTCTGACTTCAGTGTTCCTAACCTTTTCACAACACCACTGCCATTTGCTTTTATAGAGAAAAAGGAAACAGTAGTCATTTTAGCAGATTGAACTTCTATTGAAATGTCCCATTCAAGGCTTCAGTGCTGTTCTGTCTTGACTGGAGCTCTCAGTAGATGAAAAGGTATTTTCTGAACCAGGATTCATGATGTGAAATATAAATGACTTTTCATATAAATGTACCCTCAACCTTCAGAAGCAACAGCTACGTGGCAGCCCCTTTCTTGAATTTTCTGACCAGTCCTCCCCATGACAAGTAGCGTAGTTACAGGTGAAACACAGATGCTGTGGTCATCTGTATTTGTATGAAATTTTACAGCTATATTTTTTCTCTCTCTTTAGACTTTAAGCCCCTCAAAGAAAGGTGACACAATGAAGATGAGAATCTAGGGAAACTAGATTAATGGAAACGGAATAACCAGAATGGAAATATTGGGAATGTTTACACATTGTGAACAATATAACCAATGTCACTGAACAACTTGTGTAGAAATTGTTAAATGGGAACTTAAACTGCTGTATAAACCTGCACTAAAAGCACAATAAAATATTATTTAAAATAAATAAATAAGAAAAGGGACACATGAAGTTTTAATTATTTTAAAAACAAAAGTCTTCCTTTTTCTTTTGTCTTGAAGGTGAGTGATAGAGGACTAAATGAGGGTAGTGACAATGGGAATGTGGAACAAGGTGTTAAGCACCTGTTAAGTGCAGACACTGTTCTAGGTGCTGGGGATGGCGACCCTATAGGACAGAGTAGAACTGCCTCATAGGGCTTCCAAGGTTGTAAGTCTTTATGGAACAAGATTACCTCATCTTTCTCTGGATCTTTTTCTGGAGCAGCTGGTAGGGTCAAACTGCCAAACTTTTAGTTAGCAGCTGAGCACTTTAACCACTGCGCCATCAAGGCTCCTTACCTGAGACTTTACACACCTCCTCATCATCTCATAATTACCTTTTGGAGAAGGTTTTACTCACTCCATTTGGCATATGAGGGAACTGAGGTTTAGAGAGGGGAAACGACTTGTCCAATATCCCACAGAATAAAGGGATGGGAGTAGGATTTGAAACAAGGTCTGAATTAATCCCAAATCTCTTCCCTTTCTAGTCTTCTTATCGAGACTGAACCAGATGGCATTTAACGTGCCTTGTAGCTCTGGCTTATGATTCTACAGAGAAAGTACACTCAAGGCTTATTTCATTCAATTGATCATTTTACCCTGAAACTAGCATGATGCTTTACTGTGGTTTTCTAAGGTCAGGACTATAGAGACATTTCTGGTTTGCCTGCCCAACATCCCTTCTCTTATCTACTGCTAAGAGCACACTAATTTCCTCTGGGAAACTACTACTTGGTGGTTCAGTCCACATGACTTGGGTGGAGCTGACTTCATTTCTACTTCCAGTGGAGGGTTGTGTGTGTTTGTGGGGGGAGGTTATGGTGCAGGTTTGTCTTTGGGATTGGTTCAGGGATGGTCATGTGACTTTATTAGACCCAGTCAAAGCTAATCCTGAGACTTCTGCTGAAGCCATATGGAGAGTAATGCTTTCTTTTCTTCTGGGCTTGTGAATCTGAGACGGTATAAACCTGAGGCCCATTCTAAGCATTAATTGTTTTGTTTTGTTTTGTTTTACAATTATTCCATTTTATTTTTGGTAAAAACAACTCAAAATAATATATACAAAGAGTTCATATTAATATAGAAAGCTGCCTGAAAATATACACCTTTGTTAATGGCAATTCTGGGAGTAGGATTAGATACAAGTATCTTTGCCTTTAGCTTTACTACCATAGTAAGATTCAATGACTTTGCTGACTGCTTGCTCCCTGAAAATAACAGCAAAACAACCCTATGACAAGATAAGCTGCTTAACAGATACGTAACTCTTTTGTAAAAAGAGCAACAAAGCACAGAAAGTGACATAAAAGTGTAACTAAGCACTTCAGTGTGAATTTGAAACCTTCCGTAATCTGATATCATTTTATCATCTTTTTTTTTAAAATAAGTTAGTATAGTGATATTACTTAGTTCAGTTGTGTTTTCATTAAAAAAATATTTTCATTCCTTTCCCTTTCACCCAAGTTAATATGGTTTACCCTTTTTCCCCCTCCCACCCCCTATGCGTGACGTTTTGACACAGAGAGAGGCAGAGCCCAGAAATGAGGAGAGAGGGACATTATCTGGATTCTGCTGTCTGAGGCCAGCCTATTTCTGGAGGATTCAGTAAGGTGAGTGGATAAATTCTCTTGTTGCTTAAGGCAGTGTGAGTTGGGTTTCTATCATCTGGGACTGAGAAAGTGTTGACTAATTCAAAGTCTAATGTCACTGGTTACGTTTCATTCCCAAATTAAAGAAGAATCTCCAGGGAAGAGGGTCACAGGAGAATATTGGGTTTTAAACTTCTACTCCTAGAAACTAAAAGTGCAAGCACAACAGATAAGTGTTTGCCTCCATCTCCACTCAGGTTCTAAGGTACCATAAGTCTTTCTCATTCATGACTCCAGCAAACAGTAAAATCTCAGAAGGATATAAGAAACTAACCTGAATAATTTTCCCAATAAACCAAGGTACTGGCTGGAGTTTCATCTTTTTGATATTCTCATTCAGCACTTTCATGAAAATGTCATAGTCTGGCTTTGGAAGAACAACTCCAGGAAACAAATCTGATATAATTCCCTGTTAACAAGAATTTAGGAGAAGATTAAGAAGGTAAGTATCAGATATGTGCTATCAATATTTACCTAAAAAAGAGATCTACAGACAGCAGAAATCTTTGAAAAATACCAAACCTCATATTTCCTACACAAAACTCATCTAAAATTACAAGTTACAACACTCTCTATAAAACATAACACCCCTCCTCCAATTAAATAATTATAAAAGTCAACAAATATTTAATGAGTCTATACTGTCTTCCAGTCCTAGAATATACTCGGAATGAACAATACAGTTTTGGCTTTTGTCTTTATGGAGTGCCCAGCCTGGTGGAAAAAAAAACAACAACAACAACAAAAAAGATGGGCATTAAAATAATTACAAAAGGAAAATAATTAAATTTTATAAACACATCTACCCAAATCCAACAGCAAGTATTATCCTATTACTGAAATCATTTCAATTAAAATGAAGAGCTAAACAGGGATGTTTGCTACTGCCAACTAAAACCAAACACACTGCCATCAAGTGGATTCATATGAGCTCATGGTGACCCCATATGTTGCAAAGCAGAACTATGCTTCACAGGGTTTTCAAGGCTCTGAACTTTTAGAACCAAATCACCAGGCTGCCTTCCAAAACACCTCTGAGTAAGTCTGAAGCCCCAACCTTTCAGCTAGCAGTTGGGCACTTAACCCTTTGCACGACCCTGGGTCTCCTTGCTATCACCACTATTATTTAATTTGTTTGGAAGGTAGTAAGCAATGAGTTTGCTGGCTAGACATAGAGAGGGGTCAGGAGATGGAAGGGGAACACCACAAAGATGTGGAGAGGATGCCAAAGAAAATATTTCATCTTTAGAAGTTGAGCCCAAGTACTGTGTCAAGGGTCCAAGCCACTCACATCAAAACCAGACTCACTGCCATCAAGTCAATTCCAACTCCCATTTGATTCCCAAGGCTGTAAATCTTTTCAGAAGCAGACTGCCCCATCTCTCTTCCGCAAAGCAGTTGGTGGGTTCGAACCACTGAACTTTTGGTTAGCAGCCAAATGCCTTAACCACTACGCCACCAGAGCTTGTTATATACCTGAAACAGAGGGACATCTTGAGCCAAGAACTTGGCCAAGTTGACATCAAGCAAGGCCCGGAGCAGCAGGACACTCTCATTTTCCTCTGGATACTTGAGCTTCAGGTTGCCAGCAGCAGTGAGCACAGACTTGACAGCACGCATGCCATAGTCATAGTGGTGCTGGGAGGAGAGCTGCTCAGAGCACAGGCGGTAGGTTGCGACAATCTTCTGGGCAAGACTGGGAGAGCAAAGACATGTATGCAGACTCCCAAAGAGGACCATGCCTTACTCGGCAGCCATTTCCCTTCCCCTTCAGAAACCAAGCTTGCCATAGACTTGATGAAGAAACCCTATCCTTTGAAGGTCTTTTTATAGAGTGATCAGTGCTAAGGTAGCACTGCACTGTCTTTCCAAGTTAGGATCCTCTAAGATATGTTGACGGAAAAAAGCAATTATGCACACACACATGCACACATGTGTGCATATACAACATAAAACTGTGTACATACTTTTGTGTGTATATGTAGTCATGCATATATACATGCACATATACATAATGTACTGTATATGAAATTACATGCATATATAGTTTTATGTATATATATCAATGTATGTGGTGTATACATACAGACACACCCAAAACTTTGGGAAGAATACATCAAGCTACAAAATACACTGTTAAACCTTAGAGAGGGGAATTAATGGTAAATTCACTTTTTTCACTTCTGCAACATTATAATTTTTTTTTCAATGCCCATGTTTTACTTTTTTTAATTTAAGAAAACCAATTTAAAATTCAATATACTCAGCACAAAACACATGTATACTTAAAGTGCACTTTCATTTCTTATTCTTCCTTGACACACATTTCCCAGCCTCCCATGTAGTTGAGCATTGGGTATTCTACTGAGATTTGGCCAATGGAATGTGAATGAAAGGGAAGTATGCCACTTTCAGGGCTAGTCCATAAAAGTCTCCTCTGTGATATCCTCCATGCTCATATGTTGATACAAGTAACCTAGATCCCTGAGTCATACCTTGCTCAAGAACTGCCCCAGATCATTAACACCCATTTTGGATTTCCAATAAGTGAAAAACAAACTTCTATTATAAGCCCTTGGGATTTGGAAGTTAAGGTTACCCTAACTAATATACCTAGGCACATTCCTGGGAAGGGGATCCTCTTTGTAAAACTGATGTATTGAAAGAGCAAGGGGTCTGTGTTGTTCATCAGCCCCAGCACAGGGCTTAGCATAAGATAGGTGTTCAATAAATGTTTGCCAATTGAATTAATAAATAAATTGAATGGATAAAGCAACGTAATGCGGGTCTTCTATAGAAAAAACAAATCTCATGATACTGACAATCTGAGATAGTCAAGGCAAGGAAGGGTGACACATTCTATTGAGACTGTCTGCAGCCTCTTACATGTGCTATAACACAAAGACACTAAGGTCTTGTGCAGACATCTGTTTTAACAAAACACCAATTGTGTGGCCAAGATAATAGCTACAAAGTTTGGAAGAGATCAATATAAGCCACTTTACAATTAATATTCATTACTTTTGGTGTGTGTGTTGTATGTGTATGTGTGTATACATACATGACCATTTTGTGTGAGTGTGTGTGTGTGTGTGTGTGTTTGAAAACTGGATAACACTTAACTAAAGATAATCCAGTTTATTGGAGTCAATGTTAACTGTCAATTATATCAAATTTTCCTCTTCAATTTTAGAATAATTTCTGATGTTTTACAGTCTTGCCTTAAGCCATTTAGCAATGTGTGTTAGACTGAGATGTGGATAGGAGATAGTTGGTGGCTTTCTTTTTTTTTTTTCTCTCTCTCTTTCTTTTCTTTAATAGAAGTCAGGCCTTTAATAGGGCTTTCTTTAATAGAAGTCACAATGCATGTAAATTAAGGAGTTTCTTGGGAACCTTGGCCATTTTTTAGCAGGGATGGGGCCAGGATCAAGACCAGACTGTGCTCACAGATCAGCCAATGAGTAGAAGCAAGTTTCCTAATTTTTTTTCTTTTCTCCCACTAAGTTGCTCACCTTGAATCCATCAGACAGAAAAGTACTCTTTAAGAGCCTTTCATAACTGACTAGAAAGCAGAAGACCCAATGTAACATACCTTCTGGAGTCCAGAAACCCCATAGAGTAGAGGGATATTTCTCCAATCAGGGCATAATCTGGCACCATCATGGCCACTGTCCTGAACAAGGCCTGGGAAAGAGACAACCAGCCAATCAGAACCTGACATGTACAGTGAACACGGGGGGTGGGGGGAGTTCATCTACAGAGGCACTGAGAAATACCACGATCATTCAGACCACTCCAGTGACAATGGAAGGACAGCTGGAGAACAAGTTAATGTGGAGGACCACCTTCATTGAATAGATGTGCTGTTCAGCTAACCTCCCCATTGGCCCTGTGTAGGTACATGTTGTCACACTGGGCCCCTGTTCTCACACTGGGCCCCTGAATAGCTGTGCAGGAGGCCATAGATACTGGTATCCCAATAATGCCTTATTCTCCTATGCCAAATGAGGACACCTCATAGCATCATTCAACCACTGGGGCTACCCAGGGCTCAATATGTACAGCAGAAGGCATTCAGGAATGCAGGACAACATACACTAGAAGAATCCTGAAGTCAGACAGACCTTGCCTTGAGTCCTTGTTCTTCTACCTCCTAGCTGCAGGTAAGTTAAATAAGTGGCTGCTAGGTGAGGCAACCTGAGCTTCTAGATGCCAGTTCTTTCCTCTCAAGGTAAGATAACTTTACCCTCTTCGTAGAGTTGAGAATAAATTATATAAGTGAAATGTCTGTCACATGGTAAATGCTCAGTACACATTAGTTTTTTTGTTATTATCATCTTAAATCTTAGAAGAGATATGACCCCAGATAACTCAAGTGGCTTGCCCAAGTCATGCATTCAGTTGGACATGGAACCAGGACTAGAACTCAAGCTTCCTGATGCCAGCCCCCAGGTGCTTCCTACCATGCTACATTGTTGTTGTTGTTATGTGCTGTCGGCTACAATGTCTCATGAAGATTGCTTGTGCAGATCTAACATGGTTGTTGGCTGTGAAGCGTGCAGGACAGGGGAGTAACAATGACTGAGTGGTAAAAAGGGTGAAGAATGTGGATCCAGATTCTACTTCTACACTCACTGGCCTATGCTGATGTAAGGAGAGGAGCCACACTTAAGGATTTTCCTGACTCGTTCTCATTCCCAGAAAGGAGAAGTGTTCTGCCTGAATAAGATTCCAGGCACTAACCAGAACACATTTCTAGCAGGTGGAGTCACCACGGACTAAGTCAGTAGATGTGAGTGTGGTTGAGTCTCTCTCGTCTCTTCCACATACAGGGCTGGAGCTATAAATAAAATTAATAAGGAAGCAGTCCTGGAAGTCTTCCTCTGGTTGGTCTTTTCATGCAGCTGAGGTGGTGGGAGGAGACCTAGCCATCTTGTACTCTTTGGTTCTAGTCCCCTCCCATGAGAATAGCATGCTAAGGTCCCAGAGTACCTGCTCCTTGGAAGATGGCCTGGTTCTCTCTCTCTTCTCCTTCAGAGGCACTTTCTTTCTCTGCCTAGCAGCAAGGCCAAGGATACTGCCATGGCTGTACCTCAGATCAGATCAGCAATAGATACTGGGCGAAAATATGCTCTCTTGTTATCTATCTCTCTAGCTGGTTGGAATAGCCTGCTTTGGTCTGGAAACTACTTAGGCTCAACGAACTTCATTAGATGGTTCATACATGGGGCATTCACCAGAGTTCCTACCATGCCCAGCTTGGTTCTCTTCCATAGGCAATTGAAATAGTGACCCTTGTTGTAGTGTTCATTGTTTCCTATTGCCTATGTTACTAAGTACATATTCCCCGCCCTCCCATGAGATCTTGGTGGGGAGGTGGTTGTGATCTGGAGTCAAGTACCATCTTAATACCATTAAATTCCACTCTTACTTCTCATAGCTGAAAAATGCCACATGGATCCATTGTTAGGCTTCTCTATGAGACCCGAGTACCACAGAAATTCATACATCATAAAGTACATCCAGCATCTGATTACCTTGAGGTTATCTGGCAGCTCAGCCCTGCCAGCATACCCAGGGTTCATGGTGATGAAGACAGCACAGGTTGGGTTCAGAGCGAGCTTGGTGCCTTCAAAGGTGAATGTCTTTAGCTTCCGGATGATGGCTTGTTGAATGCTGAGAATCTGTTGAGCTACCACAGACAGTACTTCTACCTGGGGTGAGAACAACTAGCTGATGTGAGCTACTCCTTCTGACAACCTTCCCAATCTGCTAAAGTCCCCTCCACTTAGCAAAGAGAGAACCCAGTCATTTGGGAACCTTTCTTCTCATTCAAAACTCAGATCATGAGTTGAGGTTTTGGTAGATAAAAGAAAATTGGTGCACACGTGTGTATGAATGTGTGTAAGTAGTTTCCACAGTATTTTATCCATCTTTGTTCCAGTACCTAACAGAATATTTGACACATAGTAGGTATTCAAACTGTTCATTGATTCAAGTTTCATGTTTAAATTTCCAGACTTCCATTAGCACCCAAAAAGAACAAATAACCTGTGCTTTTGTGCCACCACTATAGACTTCTATCATATTAATTTGTGTCATTTCATTATTATTTCCCTATACTAGATTGCAAGGTGCTCTGGTGGCATAGTGCCTAAGGCATCTGACTGCAAACCAAGAGGTTGGCAGTTCAAACCTACCAACCACTCCATGGAAGGAAGACTGGGCAATCTACTTCCATAATGATTCTGCCTTGGAAACCCAAGGAGGAGGGTCGCTATGAGTCAGCTCCGACTCGATGGCAGTGAGTTTGGTTGGTTTGGTTTAGATTGCAAGCAGCTCTGGAGGCACAGTGTTTAATCACTTTGCTACTAATCGAAAGGTCAGTGGCTCAACCAACCAGCCAACTCTGTGGGAAAAAGATGTGGCAATCTGCTTCCAGAAAGATTATAGCCTTTGAAACCTGGTAGGATAGTTCTAATCTGTCTTATAGGGTCACTATGAGTCAGAATCGATTTGATGGCAATGGGTTTTTAATTTTTTGAGATGTTAGATTGTAAGGAGACCTGGTAGCACAAAGGTTAAGTGTGGAGCTACTAACCTGAAAGGCTGGCAATCTGAACCCACCAGTCGTTCCATGAGAGAAAAGACGTGGCAGCCTACTCCCTACAAACTGCAGCCTAGGAAACCCTTCGGGGTGGTTCTACCTGTCACATTGGGTTGCTATGAGTCAGAATTGAGCAGCAACAATACTGGATTGTAGCAGTCTAGATGGCAAGATCATTTCTTACTCGTCCTTATCTCATGAACATAGGCAGACTGCCTGACATATAGTAGCTGCTCAGTAAGTGAGTAAATGAATGAATATGATGGAAGTGAGGATGATGTTTATTACATATGCATTTTGTCTCCTTGGGGCTATTTTTGTTTAGTTCACTGAGTACCTACTCTGTGCGTGGGGCCAGGGAGGAGAAAAAGCCCTGTTATTAAGGAACCAACAGCCCAGAACAAAGCCTCCACATATCCAACCTTTCTGTTTTGTAGCCTTGTAGCAGAGTTACCTCAATCCTGTTGAACTCATCAAAGCAGGCCCATGCTCCAGCCTGGGCCAGCCCCTTGAAGAACTTCCCCATGGCTTTGTAATCCAAACCATCAGAGCAGTTGAAGACCACACACTAGAGGGGAAAGGATGTAGACATCATTCAGGATGGGTTCCATCACACCTGGATCAGCCTGTACCATAACGCAGGTGGTGGGGCTCCTCTTTTCCTGTTATACTGTAGGAGCTAGAGCCCCACTCTGCTTGTTACACTAAACCACCTTGACCTCACACTAACTTTCAGACAGGGGTGGGAAGAGCATTTCCTTACCTGCTTGGCCAAAGCTTTGGCCAGATCTTTGGTGGTTTCTGTTTTGCCTGTCCCAGCTGGACCCTCTGGAGCACCCCCAAGGTTCAGCTTCAAAGCCCCCATCAGTGTCCTAAGTGGAAAAGAACAACTTAGTGCCTGAGGGCTCAGAAGCAGAAAAGAAACTGGATCAAAATTGCCTGGTATTGGTTCAAT